CCTGCGTGACATTTCGATAAAAGCGATAATTCAGATAAATCGACTTCGTTGTAACGAGGATTTACTGTGTCATACAACTCGCACGGTACTCCGAAACATTAAAAACAACAGACACGAAACACAACACGAGCATCAATGCAATCTCATGCATTAACTATCCAAGCACACTTATGGACTAGAATGTTCGTCAAATGAATTCAGTCCAGAATTCTTGGAACAAAGCTTGAATGCTTCTCTTCCAGGAAACACTTGCTCAAAGTCGAGCACCGGTAGTCCTCCTGCTGTGTCCAAGGTATCTCTTCCTGAAAACTCTCGCGTCGTCAACTGACCGCACTTCAATAACAAAACTTGCTCACCGGCATCCTATCGGCCACTCACGTGTTTCCACTGCAGGGCACGCCTTCAACCACTGGCGGAATCATACACTTCATCTCCTGTTGCAACTCCCTCCGCTACTTGCTTATATTCACGAGCCGTTGGGTTTCTGAAACTTCTAGGCATACCGCACAGCCAAGGCTGTGGAAAGAGTGGGACCTTACTCGTAATTTCCCCGCCCCGTGACGCAACCTGAGAGTGACTCACTAACTCCTTCTTTCTCGATATTTGAGTTTGCTCGGCATTCCATCCGTGACTTGGTCGGCGTGGCAGCGGCTCTTTCAAGGAAGAGAGGGAGGTGCTCGCAAGGTGTCTTTTTACGCTTGTTTGTTCATTGCGCCGGCTTCTGTCATGTCTGACTAGCGCCTGCTTATTCCCGTAGGTGATGAAAATCAGAGGCGGGGGCTTTCTTGAACACTCATTTGTGGCAATCACATGATTAAAATACTAAATCATTTGATAGCGATGCTTCGACCTAAGCTAAAATTATCTGCAGCCACCAGTCTAAGCAAACCACAAATAAAAATATTTGATATGTGGGTTTAACGTCCCAAAACTGATTGTGAGAGACGCCGTAGTGGAGGGCTCTGAAGATTTCGACCACCTGGGGTTGTTCAACGTGCAGCCAAATCTGAGCACATGGGCCTACAGCATTTTCACCTCCATCGAAAACGCAGCCACCGCAGCCGGGATTCGATCTCGCGACCTGCAGGTCAGCACCATAGCCACTAGACCACCGTGGCGAGGTAAAAATGAAAAAAAAATAGGTGCCTTAAATATTTTCGAGAGCCCGTTAACTTTTTACACGAAATGCGACCCCCCTGGATCAATTTTTTGTGTGTGCGCTAATTTAAATTTTCCATGCAAATATACTGCAGAACGAAATTGTGTAAATTTTGGGGGGGTGACCACAAAGAGACAAAAATTATTTCTGTTGTTATATACTCAGTGGCCCAGCCAGTTTGTCATTTGGAGCAAATTTGGAGCAGGAAAAAGTGCTTTGCAGCGGAATAAGATTGAAGCATGAGGAGCTGTTTTTTGGAGCATACTTGGAGCAGACAACACAATCATTTGGAGCAGAATATGTCTAAATTTCCAATTAACACCCTTCATGCACATGCTGGAAATGCTGCTGCAATGTAAACAAGGAGACGAAGCCGACGTCCACGTCTTAATCAAGGTCTTAGCACAAAAGAGTTTCGCACTCTGGCTCCACTGCACTGCACGAGATGTGAACTGAAGTGAAGCATTCATAACAAAGCAAACATGCAACAATGGTTTCTGCGAATGACAGGAGTCATAATGTCATTTTAAAAAAAGTCCTGACTGAAAAACAAGCTGTCAGCAATTAAAGGAGACTAAGAAAGCTTGTTGCAACCTAAAATACACTGTCTGAAGTTACCTGCAAACGTAGTGCATCAGTAATCGTCACAATTCACTATGAATGATGCTCCATCATGTTAAATAATTTTTTGAGGCATCAGCACCAAGCAACATGTTCCTTCAACTTTTAAGAAATTCGAATGGAGCACTTACTATTCTTGGTCTTCCAAATAATTAGCAATAGTCCTAAAGAAATAAGACTGGTACAAAGTAAACCACCATGAAAATGACAGGGTCAGTGGTAAATCTAAGAATGAAGAAGAGAAAGCCTCTTCTTCAAGGCAGCCTTGAAGAAGAAAAGTCTGCTAGTCAAAACGTTGGCTTCTGCGGTGACACCCCGTTTTCACGAATTTTTTCCCCCCTAATATGCCATCGAGGTGCATACGAGTCCCCATGCTACTCACACGGTTAGGAAATAACCATGGCTTTGCATGAACAGGCCAGATGACAGAGGACAACCGATTGGTTCGGTGGGTGAACCGGGTTTTTTTTTGGGTGGGGGGTGGGAATGAGAGTTTTTCTTTCAATTCTTTTCGCTTACTCGGTAATGAATCTGCCTGACCGCGCTCTTTCTGGGCCCAAGGGACGACAACGAAATGAATTATATCAAAATTACTAGCACACACAAGACACTCATTCTTTTAGCATTTGTCTTGAGCGTTTAAATAAGCAGTCACGAGTGAATGAAACCACGGCATTGTTTAAGAACCTCATTATATGATTTGACTGGTTTGGCCAGTGAGCGACTCTTCCGACAATCTCGCCGCGCGTATGTTGACCTTGATGACCGCCGCAACAGCGCGCCCATTTGTTCTGTTAATTGTCATCTGCTCTCGTTTCGTCCGAGGCATCACCTGTTTTATCCACTGCCATGCGGAGAAGGGATCCCTTCCGCCGCTCTTCCTGAACGACGGTTTGAAAGTAAACAAGTCGCTTGGTGACATTTGAACGGAACGGAACGAGTCTGTTCCGCACCGTTTTACCATAATACTAGGGAGTTTTAGTGCTGGGTGCGCATTCTCTTGGGGCGTTGCGGGCTTGGGGTGCGCGGCGTTGCGTGCCAGTGTGTGCATTCCTATATGGATGTATTTCTATATATTGCTTATTGTGACATTGCTGGTATATGCCACAAAACTTGTGATGCCTTAAGTAGTGTATTTGGTTATACACTTGCAAAAACTTGTCTACCTCTCGTGGTAACCTGCAAGGAAATGCTATGCTATGCATGTTCTTAAGCCAGAGAGGATGCTTTAGGAACATTCTTATACTGCTTGAACCTAATCTTTAGACAAACGTATGTTATTCTCGGCTAGTAGATTGTTTAGGGAACTCTTCTGTTTTCTTTTGACTGAATAGGAATTGGATGTTCTTTCAGGCATTGCGTACATTAAAAATTGAAAAATGTGTCATCTTACTTGAAACCGACGGTTTATAATGACATTGTATTTAGTGGGAACGTTTCTTGCTGCACCAGCTTTTACTGAGAATTTCTTATTGGAATAGCCACATCTTTACACGTAGTGGTTATGCAAAAGCCAATTTTTTTATCGGAACTGGCCTTCAGAATCATTAAACAAGCTTTGAAAAAATCTTTCGTGTTAGTGAATCTACCATAAATATGGTGTTTCCAATTGTGATGCAGTGATGGACTGCTTTCTGGTAATATCTGCATGCATAAAAGAAATATATTGTGCAATGTACTGATTTATGCAAATTTACTTTTCAACTTGCTCTCTTGTAGGAGTGGTCAAGAGTGCCTAGTAAACAAAGCCTTTTAACCTATAATGCTTTGAATGAAGAATACCCTTTACAGTACCATGCATTTTTCATGCGCTTTATTCGCGTTTATTGGAATGGGTTGCGAAGATGCATGCAGTCAAGCAAGTTCACGCCGATTTGTATCAAAGGGATGAATTGTTTTCATACTCCCGACACTTTCAGCCTGAAATGCTTTTGTACCCTACTACTGGTGGTGCTAATTTTAGGCAGTTTTCATAGAAAACAAAACTCTTTATTTTTTAGCCTTATGTTCCATTGCTGTCTGTGCTTTTGTACAATCACAGTTGTTGCTAATATTTACTTTCATGGCTTTGCTGCTTTTATTTCAGACAGTTCTAAATTGAAAACATGGCTGATGACACTGAATATTTGAAGCTGTCTGTGGAGGACCGTTGTCAGCATAAGGTATTACTACTGTTCACTTCATTCACTACTCTTGGCTGACAAAACAAGACTCTACTAATAAGAAATATAGAAAGACAGGGCATTGTGCTTTTATACCAATTCTGTTTTGTTCGTATTCCTGGCACTGTGATCAAACTGTGAAAACTGTTTTCTGTGTTGACATCGATCTCAGCATTGGTAACTGTGATGCTAGTTTATAAGATAGGCATGCATAGTACTTCTAATAACTTGGGCATTGCACCGAAATAACAATGTGTGAACAAATCTTTTTTGAATTCAATGTCAAATCAAGCATTAGTCGCATATTGACAGCTTTTTTTCAAGTTGTGTTGCTGACAGCATTGCACAAGACTGGAACACTGTACACTAACTACTGCCCACCAGTGGCATAGTATTCAACGTGATGTCACTACCTCCAAGTAAATTTGACATTAAAATTTTAGATGCTTAGAAACCACCAATGTCTATCAGATTGTTGGCTCCGTATCATGAGACATCCTCGTACTACATCCACAGGGTTATAAAAGCTTTACCTGTGGGTTATATTTTGATAGAAAAGGGATGTAAATTGAAAAAAAAATGAATCTTGCTTCACATGAAATAGACATACGATTTTGTATTTGAAAATTTCTGACATCTATACACACGTACAACACATCCTTGATATAAGTAGTAAGTACAGATTGTCTTTTGCATACTTATAGAGAATGTGAAGCCTAACTTCTTTGAGCAAAGTAACATATTCACCAATAACGTGTTTGCTTGCTTCTTCCTGTGTTTGTTTTTAAATGTGGTGGCACTTTTCACTATCAGTGTCTGTGTTATTGCTGAAAATGTGCAATGCTGTATCTGCCTCTTGCATTGTTGGGTTTAATTTTGCTTGATTTGAAGCCACTGTTCGAAAAGCCTGTTATTAACATTGAAGTGTATAGTCTGCCAAGCTATCGCTAAAACAAAGATTTCACATATTGTACAACCCCCAATGTTTCAAAAATATTTCCTTACATGTATTGCTGTTTAGTTCACTTACTACGATTTTTCTTTGTTCTTTCTTTCAGCTGTGGAAAGCTCGTCTTAGTGGGTATGAAGATGCCACCAAGCTTTTCGGTTCCGTCACAGACCCCAAGAGTCCAGAGTTTCAGAAGTTTTTGCCTCTCATAAAGAACTTCGTCACAGATAGCAATGCTGTGTCTCAGGAAAAGGGACTCGCAGCTGTCCTGTCGTTTGTTGAAAATGCCCACCTGGCCAGTCGCATATGTGGCGACGTCCTCACCGGGCTCGTCACCAAGTGCATCGCCGCTCCGAAGCAGAAGACACGGGAACTGGCGCAAGAGATCATCTACATGTACGTCGAAATTGAGAAGCAAGATGTGGTTGTGGAGGAACTTGTCAAGGCACTGGATAGCAAGAACCCGAAAATAGTGGCGGCATGCGTGGCAACACTGCGAGAGTGCTTGCGTCTGTACGGTGCCCGCGTTGTAGCCGTAAAGCCTCTCTTCAAAGCACTTCCGAAACTCCTCGAGGACAGGGACAAGACAGTGCGTGAAAAAAGCAAGCTGCTGACTGTCGAGCTCTATCGATGGATTGGAGATGCCCTGAAACCAATGCTGCAATCTCTGAAGCCCATTCAGGTGTCCGAGCTTGAAGCAGAGTTTGCCAACGTGGAGAAAGGCACTGCTACTGCCGAGCGTTACATCCGTTCGGAGCAGGCACGAAGGGCACAGGCAGCTGAGACTAGCACCAATGGCGTGGATTGTGTCGAAGAGGTAGAGGAGTGCGGTGGTGATGGGGGTGCCACTGTTGACGCGTACGAACTGCTAGAAGCTGTCGACATTCTCTCCAAGCTGCCCAAGGACTTCTACGAGCAGTGCGAGGCGAAGAAGTGGCAAGAGCGAAAAGAGGCGCTAGAGAAGCTCCTTGAGCTCGTGAGCAATCCTAAGCTCGAACCTGGTGACTATGACGATCTCGTCAAGGCACTGAAGAGGATTGTGGCCAAGGACAGTAACGTAATTGTAGTGGCGCTCGCAGCCAAATGCTTGGCAGGGCTGGCAGCTGGTCTGAGGCAGAAGTTTCACCCATATGCGAATTTGTGCATTTCGGCGTACTTAGAAAAGTTCAAGGAGAAGAAGCAGAACGTGGTGACTGCTCTGAGGGAGGCTCTGGACAATGCATTCCAGGCCACAAACTTGGAAGCAATCCTGGAGAATGTGACGGGGGCCCTGAGCAACAAGAATCCACAGATAAAGGCGGAGACGACCCTGTTCTTAGCACGTGTCTTCTCGAAATCTACGCCGGCCTTGTTGAACAAGAAGCTGCTGAAAGCATTAGTGACGTCGTTGCTCAAGACTCTGACTGACTCTGACCCAGCTGTGAGGGAAGGTGCAAGCATGGCCTTGGGGACAGCGATGAAAGTGGTCGGCGAAAGGGTGATAGCACCTTTTCTTGGTGACCTGGACAATCCCAAGATGGAAAAGGTAAGCTTAATATATTCGATAACTTTCTGTTCATTTCACAGGCACAAGGGGGGCATCCAACTGTACATACGAGGCCTGCTTTGTGCACGGCTGATACAGGGTAGGGTTGTGTAGCTGAAGTTAGGGATGCATGCAGCCACTCGCTCTAGGGGGAGGGTGCCTGAAGTAATATTAAAAAAGGAAGAGGGGGGCGTGGTCATGACTTTGTTAGCAGAAAAACCATTTCAGCAGAAAAACCATTTCATAGCTTAAATACTGTTTATGTGTGCCCCCAGTGGCTTCACTCATTTCTCCTAATTGCTGATAGGAGGTGGAGTACAAGCACTGAAGTGGGGGGGGGGGGCTGACACAAGCTTTGGGGGGGATCGCTCCTACTGCCCCCTTCCCCCTTTGGATCCGCCACTGGCTGAAGTGCTACAGTTGTTCCTGACTAGCCAGCCTTTCTCCCTCTCTCCATTTGTATTGTTTTCTGATAACTAATATTTTTCATGCCATGAGAACAAATCAGTGTTAACAAACATAACCTGGATGACAAGGAACTTTATTACTTGGGAGGTATAGTCTGTACTTGAAGTCTGGATTGGTGTAGTAGAAGGCTTTTAAGGGTTATTGCTTTATTAGATGTCGCCTAACTAAACTGATAGTGACATCAACGGAGCCATGGAGAAAATTATTCATATAGTTTTTCAGCAGTGGTGTGGTGATTTATAGAAAAGGAAGTAAAGTGGAAGAAAAAACACCTCGCTGCTGGTTAACCTAGGCTTTAATTAGCAAAGCACACTTTTCCCCCCTTTGTTTTTAATGTATGTTTGCTATGTTTACCTCATTTCGTCCTTAGTTTTTTTTGTTTCCTATTTATTTTATTACCTTGTTCTGGGTCAGATATAAGATTCAGATATACGTCGGCTCTCATCGGGTGTGCTCAATGTTTCTTTTACTTAATCTTCGCTATCTTGTATCGTTTTTTCCTAATTCATAATCCACCCAGCTTTCCACCGTATTGCTTAAGGAAGAACATGGATACCTCGGCAAGCCATCGCAAGATTTTCATGTGAAGCAATTTGCTTGGGATTTGGCTAAGAAATTTCTCATATAGCAAACAATTCATGCAGTTCCTGGTCTCTTTAGTTACAACTATATGTGTAGGCCCCACCACAGTACAGCAAAACTGTAAACGGGTGTTAAGCATAAGTACAGTAAAACCTCCATAATTCAAACTCGGTTATTTTAAAGTCGTGCCTAATTTGAAGTATTTCCGCGCGCCCGTATTTTACAGTGGAAGTTTAAGCAGATAGTTTGAAGCGGCGGTCAGCATAAGTTGGGTTAAGTCAAAAACTTCGGCTGCAGTGTGCCAATTCTTTCTGATCCTGATTCCAGCGCAAGTCCGCAGAAACGACAGCCCTTAAGAGCCATTAGGCAATCTAGTTTAGCAATGCTAATGAGTGACAGCTGAACCACCTCAGCCTTGCTACTTCCAGCACAAAAAATATAATTAAAAATAAAATACGGTCTTGTAATCGACTTAAATGTGTGCCCACGGATAAAAAGATTGGCTTCACTGCAATACAGTAAAGATGCACGGGCAGCAAGTTTTATGCTTTTTGCAACGTCGGCACGTCATGATTTACCTATTCTTTCTGGGAATTCAAAGAAATTAATAAAAGTGAGTCTGGTGGCATTCGCGATATATGCGACTCTCCGATTGGTGGTTGCTGGAGCGATTTGTGCACTTGATCTGCTAGCTGTGTTCTCGCCTACAATGCCTACTTTGATAACTCTGTTTGCAAGCTTCAAAGATGACGTTTCTGAGCCAGAACACTTAGCTAATTTTGTCACTGTTTATTATTAAGTTCTTTATTTTACGTGCTAACGCAGGGAGGAGCAGGCGACATGCTGTCCGCATGTCACTGTTCTGTTGTAGTGAAGAAGTCTTTTTTTTTTCAGTTGATCACCCCCTTTTTTATTATTATTTTTTTGTGATGGCAGCAGCGAGGCCTGGAATTGCCCTTTGTTTTCGGCAATATTGTGGCCAGGTATTGCTGGAAAACATAACCCTTGGAACCGCAAACTCGCCGACACAGCAAACGACCAGCCCTGATTACTTTGAATAATTTCAAGTCCCTTTCGTCGCACTTTTTGTATGTTCCGTTAATTCAAAAATGGGCTTAATTCAAAAAATTCTCACAGTCCCAGTGACTTTGAATGAACGAGGTTTTACACATGTAGAAGCGAGTAACTGTGATTATCAAAATTGTTGTGCTAGCTCTTTTTCATGTCCTTGGTCGCGTGCCTTAACTCGGCATATCGGCAGCCTGCGAGGTTTGATGTTGAGATCTGTAACTGGAACATTTCCCTGTCAAAACAGGTAAAAGAGTGCTGTGAGAAAGCAGAAGTGGTTGCTGCACCACCTCAAAAGGCCCGTCGCAAGCCTGCTGCTGCTGCTGCGTCCTCGGGCACGAGTAGCACAGAGTCAAAGCCGGAAGCACAAGCCGCCCCAGAGAGGAAGGCTGCAACTGCAGTGGCCAAACCTCGTGGTGGTGCCCGGGTCGTGAGACCGGGGGCTGCTTCTTCTGCTGCGCCATCGTCTGCCCCTGCAAGAGCCACGCAAAAGGCTAAAGCGCCTGGACCTGCGAAAGCACAGTCGGGCAGCAGTGCTTCTTCCAAGGTTTGTGCCACCCCGGCCTCGGTTATTAACTGGAATGGCAGCTTTGCCATTGAGCTGGAGGTTGCATGTGCGGCACCAGTCGCAACAACCACATCTTCAATGCATTGTGATGCAAGACGACTTGTGTTTATAAACGTTAAAAATCTTGGGCGAGGAAAAAATTAATTCAGAGGTCCTGATTCATGCCTTGTAATAAAGTCTTTGTAATTGCCACATAAAAAAAACCTCGATTAGTTATGGTTTCCAGGTATGTTTTCTTCTCTGCTTTTCCTGTGATGGGGGCTCAGTAGCTACACCATTCCTATTGCTTAGCACAAGAATGCTTTTTATTTATTGCTTTTCTAAAACATGACTGCTATGGGCACATTGGCCCACCGCCGCGGTGGTCTAGTGGCTAAGATACTCGGCTGCTGACCCGCAGGTCGCGGGTTCGAATCCCGGCTGCGGCGGCTGCATTTGCGAGGTAGGCGGAAATGTTGTAGGCCCGTGTGCTCTGATTTGGGTGCACGTTAAAGAACCCCAGGCGGTCGAAATTTCCGGATCCCTCCACTACGACGTCTCTCATAATCATATAGTGGTTTTGGGACATTAAACTTCACATATCAATCAATACGGGCACATTGGCATCCCATCATGTGCTGAGTGTATTTTATTTTTCTAAGAGTGTTGCGTTAAAGTGCTCATTATGCAGAAATATCAGTGTCTGCATCTTTGGTATTGAGCAAATAATCAGTATTGTCTTTTGAGAAAACTCGAGATAGATGAAAACAAGTATAATAAAACTGTTTTGTTCAGGTGTGAATCGAACAGCAGGTTTTCTGTGTGGCTAGAAGGTGCTCTACCATGGAACCATTGGAGTTTTTGAAATTGCTTCGAAAAAAATTTTTAAAAAATGTTGTGTAGTGGGTGGAGTCCCTCACACACGTAATATACTGTACCTAGTGTACTTTTAGTCTGTCCTCGATTGCGACTGCATTTTCTCCCTTTTTTATTGCATATTTTGTAACGCAACCACCCTGTAACGGCCTTCGGCCAACCGTATTGATAAATAAATAAATAAACAAACAAATAAAAATTTCGCATGGCAGAATCGTACTCGAATCACACCAGGTGTCGAAAAAAAAAGAGAATTGTAGAACGAGTTGGCGGTTCAAAGCTGCCAATCCCTTACAAAGTGTGCACGGCACCTTTCGGGCGATTAGCTTATTTCGCCTATTTGTAAAAGGAAGAATTGTGGCCTAATGGACACTTGGCAACTGTTCATCCAGCAAACATTCTAGAATGGTTTGAAACAGCCAGTGTTACTGTTGAAGATGAAGCTCAGGCGTTCTCCTAGATTTTTTTCTTTTTCTTTTTTAAGGCAGGGAGGGGTTCGCCTCATTAATGGTGGTGTGATAGTGATGACGATTGAATGGATACTTAGATTAACAGGCTAGTTCGTATCACCTGTTGGCATTCTAAGAACACAGTATTAACTGGGAAGGCCTTCACAAGCTTTTTCATGTGCTGAACACCCCATCTGTGCACAAAGTGAGGGTAAATTTTGTATGCACACGCACACACACATGCACCCTATATCTGCACATCCATCTATTTCAGTGGTGTTGCACTCCTTGACTACTTTTGTTTCGTACCCCTTTTATTCTTACGAAGGTCTCCTTGTTTCACATTCTCTGCTGTTTTTGTCTTTGCAGCCTGTGTTCTCCGAAATGGCTCTGGCAGACGAAGAGGTTCAAGGCCGAGCAGCAGCCTTGTTCCCAGAGGAAACGCTTGCGGCTTTGGGGAGCGCAAACTGGAAAGATCGTTTGTCTGCCGTTGAGAAGATGAAGGAAGTTGTCGAGGCTATGGAAGGAAGCCTGCCTGTTCAAGTCATTGCGAAGACGCTGTGCCGTAAACCTGGACTTCGAGACACAAACTTCCAGGTTTTTCATTTTCTTTAATATTCGTATGAAAGCTTTCTCTTCTATATACACACGAAGCGCATTCTAACAAAATTGCATCTTGCACGAATGTTCGTAATGTTCGAAAATTTGTTATAAAAGTTTATTTCCAACACTATGTATCTATTGCAAGACAATTTTCCTTTATTTTGTTGTAACGGGTATTTATTTTTATCTGTGTTCATTATATTTTAGTTTCGAGTGTGTATAAAGCATCGGTTATATTAACAGGTGTGTTTATGTGTGTGCAGATGTACAACTGTGTGCATTTTTAAGCTTCAGAATTTTTTAAGACTAGAGCTGTATAACTTCTTGCAATTATACTGTACCTTCGATTTCCAGATTTTCAGACTCTCGATATAGAGTCTAGGGTTTCGTTGCTGTTTCTGCTTCAATCTCTCTGCATGCCAACCTATGCATGTCTGCGCAGGTGCTGAAGCTGAAGCTGGAAACCTTATTGGTGGTACTGGGTGGTGGGCCTGTGTCCCTGTGCGTGGCCGATTGCATGTTGGCAGACTTGGTGGACAAGGTCGGGGACACCAAGAATGGCCAGGGCGCCGCATCTGCCCTGACGGCCTTGGCTGAGGCCACCTCCCTAGACCATGTTGGCCAGGAGGTACTGGAGCATGTCTCCTACTCGCATTCATTTGATTCTTGCGCTTTAGAAATTCACAATTCATGTGGACGTCGTAGTTTACATCCATTTGTGGCATTTGGCACCTTCTGGGCCAAATTGCTATTCAACAAAATTGCTATTCACCGAATTCACCTTTAGTCAAACATTTATGCACAAGCCTACTTTATTCACTAAATAAGGTGCTCCGACTTTTCTTTTTTTCTAGCATTAACTTTCTCGGTCAGTGTTTGCAGTTCAAACTTGGCAATGTGATGTTCACTTTTTCCACATTTTAAAATTTAAAGAAAAGATTGTGAACTTCACTGGCTCTTCCCTGGTTCTTAGTGCGACAGGTTAACCAAAAACAATAGCTGCGCATTCTGGTATTCATCGACGCATGCTCAAGGCAAGCATTGCAATGCACTTGTGAAATTAATCTACACATGCTCATTGTAATGAAACATGTAAGCTAGGCAATGTACCTTGGTGTGATATATATATTGATTTCATTTAATTTTTGCCTTTCATAAAAACCGTGATTGCCAACAGTGTTTTTTAAGAGTAAAATGCCACAAAATTCTTCAAATAATAGGGCAGTATGAAGAGATATAGTGTTGGTCATGAAAAAAAAAAGCTTTGTAGTTTTTAACATGAGAGCCCTTGACAAAAGTTTACTCCTTCATCCTACCCCCACAATGTCTTCCTTACAGCTGGCCTATACCTTGTGAAGAGCCGAAACTGGGTCAACCTACACAGCTATACTCAGCCTAAGCACCTGAGTTGTCAGGTGCTATTACTCGTAGTTTGCTTTACTGTCATGACTAGCATAGTCTCTTGTGCATTTGCTAAGCATAGTAACTGTGTTAACACAGGAAGTAGATTACAAACTCTGCTTTGCTGCAGCATCTTAGGCAAACTGGGTTTTAGCTTGAAGCCCTTTTAGAGCATGTGTTTATTTTAAACTTTTAGTTAAAATATGCTAGATACTGAAGCTTTCAGGTTGCTTTGTGAGTTTCTCTTGTATGTTAGTACCACTTTATTTTTTTCCTTCTCCAGGTTCTCCAGCTTTGTTTTGCCCAGAAGAATCCGAAAAACCAAAGTGAGAGCCTGATGTGGCTGGCCAATGCTATCAAAGAGTTCGGGCTCAAGTAAGTTTTTTCAAAAACTGGGCAACTATGCATTTCAGACACACCGGGTTTTAAGTGTGGAGCACTATAGATGCTCGAGATGTCGTATACTGCCACTGCATTGTGTAACGCAGGCAAAACCACGTATAGCATAGCCATCTGTAACACCAAGAAGTCTTCCTCTTCTTGTTCTTTGGGTGCCGCGATGATGATAATAAGTGTGGAGGAAATCAGGAACCCGGGACGTCGTATGCTGTCACAAGCTGTCACCACTTAGCATAATGCACGCAAACCCGCATTTAAAAAATAAAAGAAAAAGGGGGAAAGCAAGGGATACATAGAAGAAAAGAGGGAGAAGGGAATAGAAAAAAAAGAAAAAGTAAATGCAGAAAACTTCAAAGAAGACAGGAAAAAAAGAGGGAAGAAATAAAACCGAAGAAAAGCAAGAAATGCCGCCCAGCTCTGCAAATCCTTCGGGATTTGCACAACTAGTGTGAAATCACCTTAATTTTTTGCCAGAGCAGTCAACGATCTAGTGTTGTTTGAAGCATTGCAATGTACTTCACTTGTCTGATGTTCACATACTTGTTATTTTGCAGGGTTCCAGTGAAACCAGTCATAGAAAGCATAAAAAAAGGTCTGGCTGCTTCGAACCCTGTGAGTATGAGCCAGAGCTTTTTTTTTGTGCTGTACAGTGCGACTGTTCACCACTGTTGTTGCGTAAATGTTGCATTTTGTGTGTGAGGACTTGTCTGAGGAAAGTGCAAAGAGGGCGCAAATGACGGATGGTGAGACAGCAAAGCCAGGTGTTTCCGCAGTGCAGGGCTTGCGATTACCACCATGGCTGTGGAAGCTTCCTATTGCTTTTGTGTGAAGGTTTCTCTGCGCATTCACTAGCGACTGTTGGGTATTGTGAACACAAGTGGCTCCATCCTTGTAAACTGTTTGTTAATGGAGACCTTTTAATTTTACATTTTCTTCTCAGTGTTGATGCAGACGTCCTAGCTGCATTTTGCGATGTCAGACGATCACTTCAGTAATATTGAATGAGTGAATTTGACTCTTGTATGAACAGGCAGTGAGAACAGCGTCCATCACTCTGGCTGGTGTTCTGTACCTCTACATGGGCAAGACGCTGAGGACCTTGTTTGAAGGGGAGAAGGCCGTCCTTGTGCAGCAGCTTGATGCGGAACTTGCAAAGGTTGGTGGCGTCATTACACACCTCATGCATGTTGATGGCGTTTAGCCAGTGTTGTTTTAAGCTCTTATGAAAAGAAAGCGCCATTGCGGAAATTCGCCGATTACCTTTCAAGTATGGATGTGCGAATATTTGAAAGTTTTGAATATTCATCAAATATTGCATTTGTGATGTTAGTATTCAATTCGATAATGCATATTCGATAATTTAAAATATTTGAACAATTCAGAATATTCTTCAAATATTCTATCTTCACGAATATTCTGTCACATGTTTCTGCTGTGAAGAACTTCAGATTTGGCACATTTCCAATAACAGCAGTGTTTACTTCATGCAGTGATTACTAAGTTAATGCAGTTCATGCAGTGATTACTAAGACTTCGGCACGAGTATTATATCGCCTGCACAGCAATTCATGGAAGCTTGGTGACAGCTATCGATGAATGCGGTGACAGGTCATCGTGACAAACCTACCAGTGATAAATATCTCAATTTAAATCGTGTACTGCTTGCTCGGCAGTATGTGGGGCTTGGTTGTTTAGCGCTGTTACTGTTCGTGTAAGCGTACCAACCACTCCATCTGTTGCTGCATTGCTCATCGAAACGAAAGCAACTCGTCAATGCTGCATTGGGTCGACAAAATAGCTGTTGTAGCATATATCGGTTCCGTGGCGAGCGAGTACGAAGAAAAAACGTCTCTGCACAAGCGCAAGTGCACGCGTATATTACAGAGAGCGGCACGGACTAAGTGAGCTTGGTAGGCGACGCACTGCACGCAAGTATAGCACTCGGCTTGACGTGATGATAACGCGTTTTGTGTGTAGCTGGGCCATTTTTCACTAATGAATGGCCTTGCGAACATGCGCAACAAAGCCTTACAAGTCGTCAATCGGCTGTGCCGCTACTTCAGCATGTATTCTCTTCATAGTTCCCAAATTATTTCATGGTCGCACATATGGTCATGTGAATAAGTTGGTGTTTCTCCGTGCAGTGGCAAACAAAAGGCCACGCACTTTTTTGTGCAGCAGCTTACAATGGCGTCATAACATATAGTTCTGTAATGTAAAGCGGCAGACAGAAATTTGAGGCACTTAATGCGTAGTTTCACTGTGTTCCCGACAGCACCTTCGGGAATGCGTCGTATACACATCGCACTCGCGCGGCAGCGTCTCCTGCAATCAATCCTCTATAGCTTCGTTTGTGTGATCTCGCTCTTTTGCCAATATCAGTTAACTACCATTAGCAGCCAGTGCGCCGAAAGGGGTCGCGATGCAGCTTAACAGTGCTCTCGTCGCTGGGAGTTGTGGCTCCGTTAACAAAAAGGTGTAATTGGGGTGTCTTTCTACCGCACATCAATAATCGCCTATCTCACATGTGCGTCTTGTGCTATCACAGCGCCTGGTACACCTTGGCAACGATCGTGTAGCTATCAGCGTGACAGAGTACTCTTGATCGGAAAATGGGGAGTGGGCAGTCCTCGAGAAAGGGAACAGAAACAAGTCAAATAACGAGTATTGCTGTGTAGTTGAAAGACTCCCCAAGTTCTCCTATTTGCCTCAGTGGCTTGACCGGAGAGAACAGGAGCACAAATTAAAAAGAAAATGATAAAATCTGGGGTTTTACGAGTCAAAACTGATAGTGTGAGAATCTGGCTGAATTGTGACCACCTAGGCTGCTTTATAAATCGCTTAGTCTTAGGTACGCGTGTGAACTGTTACATTTCACCTCATCAGGATATGGCTGCCATGGAGGAATTAAACCAGGGGCCTCATGCTCACTACCACTAGTCATCATGGCAGGTAGAAAACCTTTCTTTTTTTTGTAAGAGCAACCACAAAAAATAATTAAAAAGCAGTACGAAAATTTTGTTCAACATGAGAGTTGAACACAAGACATCAGAGTCGCAAGCTCAATTATTAGTCATATGCTTCCTGGCAAGTACTGGTGGTGAGCATTTTCGTTTTTTGTGCAATAACAGACTACCGTATTTACTCGCGTTATGATCGCACCCCTAATTTTTGTCATCTAAATTCGACTTTTTTTTCCCCCGCGTAATGATCGCACCCTGAACTTGCCGTATCGATATGTCATGTGCCAAGTCTAGCTGAACACGTCTATCATTATTTCTGTGATCTGAAAGAGGGCATCACTATGCTAATGTCGTAACATTACTGAAATAAATGAAAGCATTCCTTATTTAGATGGAAGAAGCTGTTTTGACGCACGTGACGCACTCAAAACCTCCATAGCTGACGCAAATAAGAAAAAGAATGGGTAGCTTTGCTCCACGGAGTGCTTCGCTCCGTCAGCCATGTTTGTTTTGACATCCCGCACTGTTACAGCGGCGGCCACATGTTGGTCGACCTGTGTTCATCCCGCAGCAATGTTTTTTTTTTCTCTGAGACCACATTTTTTTTGTGTGTGTGCCTTGTGATCGTCTGTTGAAGCACCAGTTCACCATGGGGCGGTATGCGAGCTTTACTGCCGCGTTCAAGCTGAGGGCGCTTGACTACCCGCTAGAGCACGGCCACCGCGCTGCCGGCAGACATTTCGGCGTCGACGAAATCTGGATCCGATATTGGAAAAAACAGCGTGACATGCTCATGGCTACTAACAGCACGCGATGGGCTTTCCGTAGAGCCAAATCTGGCAAGTTCCCTGACATTGAAAAGGCAGTCCTCGGATACGTGAAGGACATGAGCAAGGACGGTTATGCAGTGTCATTAGACATGATACGGACACAGGCGTGCACAGTTTCCCGGAGGCTGGGAATAGCCACAAAGGACTTCCGCGCCAGTTCAGGCTGGACGACACGCTTCATGCGGCGGAATGGACTATCGCTGGCATTTCCAACGCGCTCGACGGAACGGAAGATGACCCTCTGTGGGACAGTGAAGACACTGCCGGCTCCGACAGGGAATCGTGTGGCGACGGCCCTGCCGCCAGTGATGCTTTGGAGTCTGAATGTACGTTAGGGGGTCAGAGAGGTAAAAAAATAAAAGGGCAGTGTGCCATGCATGTAGCTCCTGCGTAATGTGTGCATTTTATTACAAAGGTAAGCCTTAATTTACTTTTATTTTTAATTAAGTTCATGATAGCTACCGTAAGAATTCTGATAAGCGACTTTTTTTGCGTTTCCTGTGCTCAGAATATTTTTTCACGGAAAATTTACCCCGCGTAATGATCGCATCCTGAAGTTGGAGTAAATTTTTTTGAAAAAACAAAGTGCGATCATTATGTGAATATATACGGTAGAGTAGCTACCATTGGTACTGTTTCCAGCAGAAATATATGATTGAGTGAAAGAATACTGGTGAAAAAAATTGCATCTTTTTATTATTCGATTCTTATTTGGAACTATGTATTCATATTCAGAAATTTTGATATTCGCGCACTTCTAGTTTCAAACTACCACTGAAATTTTGTGCGCTGAATAGTACTGGCCTGTTCGATTTCACTAGCTCTCACCGTATATCTAAAGACATTGCAATCGCATCGTGAACCACCATTCGAGTGCTACAAGCACCACCCACACCCCATTTTCTTCAAGTAAAGCCACCTCAAGCACTTGCGTTGATTTCGTACGAAACCGCAACTTTGATTGCTCGCGGCCACCTATGGTTCTGCATGTTGCGGGCACTTTGTACAAGACATTAAGATTGGGCGCCGAAAAGATCACACTCGAGCATGGATCCAGGAGTAGCTCGCGTGATACAATGTTTAGGTTTGCGGCCTGTCTACGGCGACAAAAGTACACAGCGATAGTGCAAGTCTGCGTATAGTGATAGCGAAGGCTAAAACTCGCGTCGGAAAGCCGAAACGTTTCTAAATTTGTGAAGGAGGTAGCAAACACGATAACGACCACACTTTTCCTAACAGGAAACTGAAAACGCACTTGATGGGGACGCAATCACATGATCTATGAGGAGCGCGCACAGCCGAAGCCACGCCAGCACTAAGGTTACCCCGATATCCAGGCAACCGCCCTTCATCCTCACTTGGCGAGCGCGGCAGCTCTGCCGTGGTCTTTCTTCTTTTATTTTTCCTCGCTCCAGTTAACATAATAGGGCATTGAATTGCAACCGTGCAAGTGCGATACCAAGCTACTGATTACGTCGAACTATCATGGGGTGCACCTATTATGTGCGGGAGTAAAAAAATCTTATTTCTCATGACCAAACTGGGTGTACGTCTACTATGCGAGTAAATACGATACTCCAAAAGCGGCCCTGGCCTACTTCACCCTTTCCTTCGCTACGCTTCGTTCATAGGCTCGTCTATCCTCCTCATTATGCGAGGGCAAGAGGGAGGGGTGCACGTACCTGCAAGCAGACAAATTTTGTGTGTGTGTGTGTGTTGGGGAAGGGGATACTCAAGTGGTGACATTGTTCAGTGCTGAGGATAATTAGATTGGGGGGGGGGGACAAAAATTGTTTCTTGAAATAATTGGTTCGCCCACGGCTCGGGGCACTGCCAGATTTGGCACTGTTGATCTTAATGGCATTCTGAACTCAATGCGCGAATTTACTTTAGATCTTGAAAAAAAATATTGGAGATGTTTTAAAGGCCCTTTAAGTAGCGAATTTGGATATGAATGCTCTTTTGGACCTGCCAGGTTAACCCAATCTTTTCATGAATTATAAATTCGCCTTTCAAGAAGGTCCTGCTCTTCACTGTTTCACTGTACCTTAGGGAGTTCTCGGCTTGTGAAAAAACACTTGGTGCCTCTGTGGAGTCATCGTAGATTTACGGCGTTTGAGCAAAGGAAACTGCAATGGATTACTGTGCGTTGAAGGAGATTGAAATCAGTTCAGGGTGTGCCTTTTATGTGTAACAATTCAAAAATGTTTCAATAAAAAAGGAAAAAGCTCAGAACAGCTGTTCTGGTGCAAGATGCATTGTTTCGTCCAAGTGTTCATAGCTTTGCACTTTCGATGCTCCAATTGCAATGTTATCTTTCACACGTCCAGCTGGAAGGTCAAAAACCTCCCGCGCCCACTCGAGGTGTGCCAACTTCCTCGGTCAACGAAGGTGGAGGTGATGCCCCGGAGGCTGCACAGGAGGAGCAAGAGGCTGCCCTCGATACGGAGGACTTGGTTCCTCGAACTGACATCAGGCAAGTTGTTAGAAGGCATGCTGGACTGATGCTTTGCTGCTGTTTACCTTGGGAACATTGTGAGCAATTAAAGTATTTGGAAACGTTCAATTTTTTAAAATTCGCATTTATTGAAGGGAAGAACTGGTAAACAGAGAGAAACCATACTTAAAGTTGTTCAATTGAATTACAGAAGGTAACTTTAAATTTGTAGACAAGACAGCTCTGCAAGTGAAAGCCAAACCCACATCTGCTGCATTTTACTAGCAGCGTCTTTTCCATTCAGCTACTCACCATTAGCATTTTCATAGGTGTTGGTGTACAATATGGGAGTGCCTTGCCAGGGCTGTTCATGGCCATGAGGGCCGATATGGTACTTTCTCCACGCATCAGGTCAATGCTTGTTAAAATGCAAAGGCTGGTATGTATAGTATGATTTGAACGGCAGCATGCAGTCATTCGAAAACTGGCCGCATCGACTGCTGCCACATGTGTGTACATGTGCATGTGTGAGAGAAAGTGCATACTCGCTCTGTTACACGTACATTATTATTCCGTGTCTAATGAGAAGCCCAAATTGCGAGCTTCATTTCAGCTAGTGTGCCGCTGCTGTAGCAAAGTTTTTAAATAAAGGTGGTACGGTTTAAAAACAAACTAAATAAAGCTGTTAGTTACAGTGAGGAACAATATTCGTTGCTTGGCAGCCCAAGATGCATGTCGAATGTTTGCAGTGCGGAGATAATCGCACTTGGTCTGAACGCTCTGTAAACTGGTTGCCTCTGTCATTGGAGGTTCTCCATTCATGCCAAAATATCTACGTTCTATTTATTTATTCCAGCTTGTACGCACCTTAAAGGGACTCTAAAGAGATCTAAAAAGATCAATGACTAGTTAAATGTTGAAACTACGCTACATCACCACTCTACTACCCTACGCTCACCAAAAAATTCCTAAAATACCCTAAAAGTAGGGAAATTACCCTATGGTTGGCAACCCTGGTCCACTTGTCGAAACTCATGCTCGAGCTCACAACCCCTCTTTACGGATTTTATCCTCGCAAGCCTCCATCATCCCCTTCCTGCCGTCTCTAACTCGTTAAAAACCTCGTTTCGCAGAAATTATGGCGTCAGCGTGGCCGTCGTTGGTTGAGTGAAAAATCAAGTTGCAAGTAAAAAAATGACAAAAAAAAGAATTCCAGATCCGAGTGATGATTGAACCAGGTCGTTTGTGTGACAAGCAGCTGTTCGACCACACATCCATGCACCTGCTTGGATATGCAGTGAAAATAACTTCCTCTGCTTGGAAAATCAGTAAAGATTACCTTCATGGTTTACAGACATCCTGTATATTGTAATGTCACCGTAATATTGTGTGTTAGAAGTGTACATTGCCATCGGGTGTCGGAACACGCGATTATCATAACGACTATGTGGTTTAAAGGTGGCACCCCATTATGAAAGGCGCACATGTTGCTATGCATATTTCCTTAACACCACGTAGTGCGTCCGCAGCAAGTTAAAAAACATTACACGGGCGTTTGCTCGTGGTTCAAAGCGTGCCACTGATCACACAGAATGTGGCCATATGCGATAGCTTCACTCGTACAAGCCACTTTCAACTTTATCGATTGCATTATATAATCCACATTTTAAACTTTTCGAGCAAGATGAAACAATAAAGGTAGCATTAGGTTGTTGAAGTACGCACTAGAGATAGGATATCTCTATGCACTCAAACATTGTTATAACGAAGTTGAAGGGGAGCCACAATTATTTCATTATATTCATTATTGCGTTATATCGATCATAACAGTTTCTGGCAGTGCATGCTCAGATGGGCGCACACCTATAAGCATGCAAAGAAGGAAACCGCCTTGCGGTCCGATTTACCGCAGCGCGACTACGCGTGCCACGGAAAATAAACTTAGTCAAATCTCATTAACTCGAACTTTCGGGTAATTCCAACTCACACTGAGGTCCCGTAAAAGCTATGTGTATTCCCATGGGCGAAAACGCCCTGTAATTCGAACGGGCAAGCCCTTCCGACGGTTAATAAGAACATTCCGCGCTCCGAAAATGCTCTCGGCACCATGTCCAATGTCGCGGCGGCACCTCTAAACGCTGCGCGCGAAGAAGGAAAAGAAGAAAAGGAAAGAAAAGACTATGGCGGATTGTTTGCTCTTCTCAAATGCCGCTCTGCTACACGCCTGTTCCACGCTTCTCCCTTTTCAGTCTCTGCACGTAGAGACCCTTCTCCTTCCAAGGCCGGGCGCGCAGAGAGAGGGAAAAAAAAGAAAGCTGTCGCGGAGAGTCCACCTTTCTCGGTGCAGATAAGCAGCCATTGTAGCAGCAGAGACTCAGTCGTTGCCGTTGTGAAAGGGAAATCGCTTTACACCGCAGCGCCGCTTCTCTGTCATGTGGCCCGCTGAGCGCTTCCTCAATCGTCTCCGCTGGCTGTGTGAGGAGGTCGGCTCTCTTGGCCACGCGGGGCGTGGCTGTAGGTAGGCGCGGAAGTTTTGAAAGAGCCGTGCCGAACGAGCGTCAAACTTCGCAGAAAACGCTATACAGTCGAGCCCACTTAAAACGGCCCCACCTAAAACGAACTTTCGCTTAAAAGAAACAATATCCGTGTGACCGTGAAAATATACATTGGTTCAATGGCACAAAACACACAACGATTGTCCCCGAGCGCCGCTGGTCGGGTACAGCAAACGGAGTCAGCGGTCTGCCGATTTCCCGGGAAACAAATTTCGACCACAGATCAGGCATCGGCGATGTGCCCATACCTTCTTATTGTCAAACGCCGACCCTGCCTCCGTGACCCTCTAGTTGCCGCTCTCCCCAACCCATGGAAGAAGGAAAGCTGTTTCCTTCCTCCATGCCCCGACTGCTTTTTGTTATGCACCCCTCCGTCCTTTGTCCCCCCGCTACTCTGAGCACCCCGCATCGCCAGACGAGGCCAGAGTTTTTCACACTGCCACCGATCTTTCGAAGACAGGTCGGCCATCTACCCTGTTTTTGATCGCTGGTTGGCGTCGCCGGCCTGGAGGGACCAGACCATTTGCCAACATTGTCGGCCACCGACTGTATACGATAGTCTGCGTCTAGTGCACGCGCGTACTCTACCCCACCGACTCTGCGATTTGTTTCGTGTTTAGGACTTGTTCTCGCTCACTTCGCACTCTGCCCAGCATGCCTTCCGGGCGCGTGCGGAAGAGCGAAAATGGCTGTTAATTTGCGTGGAACAAATTGCGAAATATCGAAGTTCGTGAAGCCACGCAAGCCCGCCGGTGCAACAAAACGATTTTTTTACCACGGCCGCGCGTACAGATCCCGTTGGCCATGCTTTGACTTTTGCGCATGCAGGCACTCTTTCCAAGTTTTTCTACGTGTGAGTTTCGCGGACCTTTCAAGCAAGCTACCCAATCTCCTTCCTTCCTGTGTGTTTCGGTTTTCAAGGTCGCCCCTCCCGCCGCATCCTCCCCTCTTTTTATCGCAACTCCTTGCCCTTCTCTCGCAAGTCTGCTCTCCTTCCTTTATCACAGCCCCTTCGCCCACGAAGGAAGGTTCCTCCGTGCCTTCGCCTGTCTCCGCCGCTCCGCGACGCCCGCCACGCTGGCTTGAATTAGTTTCGTTTTCTGGCTGAAAACGGGCCCAGAGCTGTTCCACGCGTTCTGACACGTGTGTCGCGTGTGCACCCCTTGATTGCTCTTGGTGTGCGTATGTAGTCGGGATGGCAGACGGTAAGACTAGCACGCTTTTTCCTGCCGCTCAACAAAACCTCAAGCCAAGTGTGACCGCTTGGCTTGAGCGTAATCCGCGCGTTTGGTGCCGCGTTGCTGAGTGCTTGCTCATAGCTGTTGGCCATCTGGCAGCCAACTTGCCGCTTCGGGCGTCCCAGTATTCAGCTGTGGAGATGGTGAACATTTCGTGGGCGGCGGTGACGGCTACTTGCGCGCGAAACCGTTTTCGCGAGGCCGACTTCGTCGACGTCGGTGTTACGTCCTAACAGGACCACTGCGGCGGGGGTTTGTGGCAGTGCATCGTCGGCTCCGACCTGGTAGAGGTGGTGGACAATCTGTTGAGATTGTTTAATTACGGCGGATGATGATGCCGAAACTGCGGAACCATGCACTAGTTGGGACATTGTGAATGAAGTACGTGGCTAGAGCGATTTTGAGGAATCGGATTGCGAGAACGACGAAACTTTGGAGCCACTGCCTCATGCAGCTTATGCCACGGGCCTCGGCGAACGAGTACCCTGCCGTCTTAAATGAACTCCAGGCCGCCCTTATCGCTTCTGCTCTTCGAAACAAGTGCATCACGGACTTTTTTGGGGAGAAAATTGTTTTCACTCGCAACTTTTTTCAAGAGATGTGTTTAATTTACTACGAACTTCAGGATACAGCGAACGGATGCCGCGTCACACTCAGGTTTGTTATAAGCGAGCTTGACAGTACCTGACACACTAAGGTTGATTTTTTATAGACTATTTGATGGACTAATTTAGTTTGTTATATCTATTTACCAGTCAATTTTAGTTCGTTAAAATAAGGTTTAAAATGTATGGTTCTTAATGGAGATTTCAAGAGGAACTTCGTTTACTTCGTTATATCCGTTATTTTCTTATATCCAGGTACTTTATAAGGAGGTTTGAGAGTAGTGCTCAGCTCTTAAAGGCGAAGCTTAGGGTTCCCTCAATTTTTTGTAAAAGCGCTTCAGTATTTCCGCAGGCGAACCTTCTGCAATGAAATTCATATTGCTTTGTCTTTTTCAAAATTAACTGAACCCTTCAAATTATAAATCAAACCGATTTTTAAGTTAAAAATTGTAGTTACCTCGCTTCTCACAGTAGCAAATGATCACCGCGGGTTCGCGCTTAGCGAGCCACAGGGCCGCGACTTCATCACCTACTCGCGTGTAGCGCACCACTCTGCGCGCGCTCAACTAACAAGGCGTTTAGCGCGGCGCGGCAAAACAGACAGTGTTCGAATAAAAGAAATACACAAACACTTTATTGCCTTTGGCGGCACCCCGAACAACAGTACAACGTCCGCTCCCGGGATGCGGGGAGTAAAGGCTCCGGCACGTGGACGTTCACGATAAGGGGAAACCGCGAGCACGTCACAGCTGGCAATGGCAAGCTTTGACACGGCGGTCGGGTAAAGGTTCCTTGCGGCTGTGCTGCGCACTCTCACGATGGCCACTGGGCCTGGTCGCGAGAGTTATGGCAAATTTTGTACGCGTAGGCCTATGGCAAGTGCTGCTTGATGTGGTGCGACCACACCAAGCCGCACTTGCCGTAGGCCTACGCGTACTCAGGCTAGCACTCAAGTAAAAACGCCTGCCTGGGATGCTAAGGCCCCCCAGGCAGGCTACAAAGGAGACGCCGTCGAAGGAAACACGTGCTTACCAGGCGCCGACGAACAGAGGAGAGAGACTTTCCGGCGCGCACATGACTTGGCCTCGCTGATTCTCGCAGCCCCCGAGAACACGCGCCCATGCGGGGCGCCATCTATCACCACACACCGTTACCAGAGCACGGGAAAGGGAAAAGGAGCGGCCGTACGGCGGGATGCCCTCGAAAAGGTCGCGGGCGCGCTTCAGATCCCCACACAATCAATCCCATAAAATCGTCAGACATAAGCCTCTTTCATTAACTTACATAATGTTCCAAGTTTGAGCATACTTGTGCCTGCAGATTTTGTTAAAACTAACTTTAACGTATTCTTAAGGGCTGTATCATTTCACTGGAGAGTGCAGTGCTGC